TGTGTGTGTGTGTGTGTGTGTGTGTGTGTGTGTGTGTACCATAGGATCTCATGTTACACTCATCTATCTCATGGCGCATATGTGTCCTATTGCTGCCAGACAGACATACCTCTAATATCCAGTCCGTGCAGCTAATGGAACACTGCACCTGATCTGCTGCAGGTCGTCCATTTTTTCCTTTTTTTTTTTCCTCTCACCTACTGCTTGGGTGATTCCTGGTGTGCTGCAGGTATTTTCAGAAACATAGCGTACCTGTTCAGAAAGTGGAGTACAGTTGGGGTGCAACGGAGGTGAAAGCTCTGCTGCCAGGTGTTCAAGCAATTGTTGACATCACAGGTTAGTCCCATCCTTGGTAATGGAAACATGTGACAAAAAAGGGAAGTTATTAGTTAGTGATCATCATTTTTTGGGCGGAAATGCCGCGGCATAATGTGCAGGCATTACTTCTCTTTTTTCGTTTTCCCTTGTTCTTTTCAGCAAAACATCAGCAATACGTCTCCTGCCTTTTCTTTTCTTTTTTCATGTCACAACGTTCTGAAAGGAGCATAGTTGTTGATATTGCTGCTCGTCGTGAAAGAAGCGTAGTTGAATCTTTGGCGTTGATCCCAACCACATCACGCGGCTTACGGAGATCCGAGGCAAGATGACTATAGCCTAATTTGCAAGGGTATGCGCGCACAAGGCTCGCCAGAGCACGCAGTTCGGGCAGATATGTTGGAGGGCAGCCATGCAGATGAGTGAATCTTTTAGGGAATGCGGTCAGGTGAGTTTGGGGAAGGACGAGTTGCCGCGCCCTGAAATGGGTGACTGTGAGCTTCCTGTCTGCTCTCGTGAGTGGAGCGCCATGTTCGCAGGATGCGGTGAGGACAAGGGACATCCTTCTGGCTTACTACCATCTTCACCCCAATCGAATGCCAGGTCATTATCACTGCATCTAGACCAAAAGTTGCCCCAAATACAGCTTTAATGACCAGGGATTTTATTTGGGTGAAGATGGTACGCTTGCACCTGACAAATGGGAGTTCTGCGGTTTTCTAGTCTAGGCGACTCAGCTGAGCGTATAGTACTTCCTTTTTTTTTGGTCCTTTCCCTCCCCGTTTCTTTTAATAATGTGTGTCATGCCCTAATCTTCTATGAACTGGTGAGGGTATACCTTTCTCAGCCTTTCAGCTAAAAATAGATCAAGTATAGAATCTGTTCTGATCAGTTTAATATCTGATCCATGGATCCACAGAGTTGGGGGCCGGGGTGGAAAGGTAGGGGTGGGTAGAGTGCCTCAGAGTGGGGTCGAAATCTGTGTTTGGGTTGGGGACTACCGTATTCACCTGAATAGAACACCCGGTAACTATCGCAGTATCTGGTCTGAAAGTTGTGCCAAATACAGCTATAATGACCGGGTGTTCTATTCGGGTGAATTGGTAGGGTCAGAGGGGTACTGGGTAGGGGGAGCTAGGACCGGGGGGGGCGGGGGCGACACAAGCGGTTAAGTTGGGTAGGGGGCCTCATGTTGTCAAACTGTGAGTTTGGGCTGGGGGACAGGGTCGCTCGGAGTGGGGTTAAAATCTGTGTTTGAGTTGGGGGCCGGCGTCAAGCTGACAGATGAGTAGGGAGCTCTCGTGTTGTCAAAATCTGCATTTGGGTTGGGGCCCAGGGTCAAAAGAAGGGGGCGGTTGGTAGGGGACTGGGTTAAAAGGGCGTACTCAGTAGTGGGGCTGGAAGGGGTTTGGGGATGTCATCAGCTTAAGAACATCGAGTTATTCTGGAATTGTACGAAAAGAACAAAAGAAAGGAATGACCCTCTAAGAAGAAGACTGAGATCAATCTTCAACTTTCCCGCAAGCATACACCCATCCTTTTTATTTTTTACCCCTCCCACCAACACCGCAGACAAAACCCACCCTTAAAAACCACCACTACACCCAGGGCTGTTTTGCTGGACTGACACGGCCCCTGCGCACCGAACTTTGCCGAAGCACCAGTGCGGCGTTTTTCTTTTTGTTTTGGTTGGCGTTGGCAGTCATTTCGGTCCGGTTTTCCCAAGCCCCGAAAAGCCGCAAATCTTTCGTAGTGGGCGGCGAGTTTTTTTTCCAGCAAGGCTGCGACCGTGCACTGGTGGTTTAACGACAAGCCAGCCACTGAGAAGAGTCAGAAGACCTAAGCACCCTTTGAAATTTGGCGAAACTGACGGTCTCCTCTTTTTCTTTTTCTTAAACAAAAGGGGATCATTGTCGCTTTTTGTGTGCCTCTTGACTTCCTTAGTGATCTTACTTGATGAGCAAAAGAACCGATGGTGAGCACCCAGTCGTTTGGGTCCAGATCTCGGTCCTCTTGGTGCACTCACCGCAGGCCACATCCAGGTTGTCCTTCTTGTGGCCGAGGAACAAAGAGATTGACACGTGTCCACATTGGCATCACCGCCCACTTAAAAAACAAATATCCACGTTACTCACACTATATTGGTATATGTGTGTGTGTGTGTTGTCATGTTCACTCTGTGTGTGTGTGTGTGTGTGTGTGTGTGTGTGTGTGTGTGTGTGTGTGTGTGTGCG